GTGGTTTTTTAGGGTTAGTTTGACCATAGATTAACGACTCCCCTAATCTATGGTTTGACAGAAGTTGATTTTGACACAACGGCTCAGAAGTCATATGGGTTTGACAAAAGTGTGATTTTTCTGATTTAGTTGGCTACATACGGCAAATTGTTTAATCATTAATTTTACGAAAAACAGCTTTCCACCATGAAATATTTACATGGTCTTGAACCAAAAATGCAATTATCATATATCAACTATTTCAGTTGTAAATTACGCGTTTGTCTTGCGCGTTGCTGGGTGATATTTTGTGCCCGCGTCAGTTCCCCCACCACCATGGTGATTATTTCTAGTACCCTGTCTCTAGACGCTTCATGAACAGTATCGAAGTTATGATAAGGCAACGATTTTTTTCTTGAAATTTCAACACCCTAAAGCTCGAAATTTAAGATGTTTAAGGAATATGTTCACATGAACATTGCACTCCGAAGAGACCTAAGGAACCATATTTCATATTCTTGACCATCAATTACATTCCCTAATAGCACACAACGTCTTAGGAACGTCCCTATTTGGTCAGAATGACCCGGACCAAAAATATGTGTCCTTGGGACGTCCCATCCCGTACATCTCATGCAATGTCCGAGCAAGGACGTCCAAGGAATGTCCCAGCTGGTACATCATTTCAAATGTCCTAGAAATAGCATCCCTTATACGTCCCACGTGGTACATATTGTAGAATTTCCATGCAAGGACATCCTTGGCATGTCCCAGATGGGATATGATTTTGAACGTTCCTTTAGGGACATCCATCGGACTCCATCAACTCAACTGGATGTTCTCATCAGTTATGCAAAATCCGGCCCTAGAGGGGCCCAGAAAAATTCAAATTCAAGAATGATTCGTACGTCCCTGGGACATCCTATGGACATCCATTCGATATCCCTCAGCGTCGCTGATAGTTTGTCCTACGGATGCCCTAAGGATGTCCTCCGTAGTGCTTTATGAGGAATACTGTAGGATTCAGGTATTCGATAGTTGTCCCAGGGACATCCCTCAATGACGTTCCTAGTTGGTCCTCAAGTGGGACATTTGTGCGCCCCACAAACGTCCAATGGACGTCCACGGTACCAAATTCGAACCTCCTATGAACGTCCGGAATGGCCCGACAGGACGTCCTAAGGATATCCATGAGACAAAATTGTGTTATTTGGGCTAGGTACACCCTGTATTGGTAGCCTGCCTCATGATGGTCGTTCGCGCCTTCATAGATTCGGCACTGCTCTTTCTCGTGAAAAATACGCGGACCGGAAGAAAGATACCATCCATTGGTGAGTCCGGAGTTAGATGGTAGTCTATGGTGTACCACAATCCCACCTGAGAAAGCGCGAACCGAGACAAGAGGTGCTCATCGCAATCGCACGTTCTCCTATACGGGGGAAAGCCAGACACAGTACGAAATATCGCCCGGTATAAAGCCGCAATCCTTTGACAGGGAGTTTAGTAAATCGACAGCGTTTAATCCCCTCACAGCGGGGACCAAAATTTTCGAGATGAGGTGCTGGTCACTCCTGGTTAGTGTCTTTTTTTTCTCAAAACCAAATTTTTTTTCTTTTTGGATTTACAGTGCGATTAGTGTGGTGATTTTTGGACTTTACTCGACCTCGTGACAGTGCATTGGAATTTTGGTCTCATCAAGTGCACAATTACAAAAAACGTCTCACTCGAAAGCAACACGAATATTTTTCTACGGCTATAACACAAAATTGCTCCTGTTTTATTGAATCCGATGAATCAGTGATATCTGATAACACAATGACTTCATTTACTTAAGAGAAAATCAGATGGCTGCAAGCCGAAGAAATCAAAAAATTCGATATTATCTGGTTTAGCCGTAGGAAAAGTATATATAGTGTATAACTCGCACGGAATATATGATTTTTCTACGGCTATAACACAAAATTGCTCTTGTTTTACTGTGTTCGATGCATCAATGAGGTACTTTGCATGTCATCAATTTTATTTCCGTACCTGATATCACAATATCTGCATTGTGTTATTACTTCAAAAAAATTTCATCGTCCATGGAATGTCAAATTTCTAGCAATGACAGCTCTGTCAAATAGATGAGCACTACTTGAGAGAAAATCTGATGGCTACAAGACGAAGAAATTATCTGTTACAGCCGTAGAAAAATTATAGTGTATAACTTGCACGGGATGCTAATTTCCCACTGGAATGATTGCAGCATTCGCCTACTGCTCATGCTGTAAACTCCATCCTTGTGGAAAATAACTATCATTTCGTGCTCGTTGAACAATATATTATTTTAGTTCAACTGTCAATCATGATATCAATGTCAATGATGAGTAAACGTTAACTTTTTTCTCTGCCAAAATTATTCACAAAATAAACATGAAATATTACTTTATGAAGAATCTATTTTTAACAGAGTATATCATTAATTGATTAAAATACATCTTTTGACGTTTGCAGAAAAAAATTTGACTACAACTGGTGCGCGAAAAACTTCGTTTGTGGAGAACTGTTTTTTTCACGAGGCGCAGCCAAGTTAAAAAATAGTCGAGCATTTCGCGCACTAAATACAAAAATTACTATAAAAATGCAACAACTACGCTTTTGGCCTGAAATAATTTCGTGACCTTGTCACAATATAGATTTAACAAAATGGGGTTTCCGAATATAATCTGGATCTTGGTTACCTGATCTCAATTAATTTTTGAAGATGCTCTCCAGAAGCTGACAATTATTCGAGGTTATGGGGTGAAAGCGTGCTGATGTTCTTTGGATCTCTTTCTTGTATTCCAACGTGTTTGTTCAATCTATTTCACGTTACACTCGATACAATATGTGAAACTACAAACAGTGGAAAATCCAAAAAAATAATAAGGACTCCATGGGAAATTCGACTAAGTAGGTCATATCCAAAATTTAGTTAGTTTTTAAATATTTTTGTGCCTCATATCGGTTTCATTTCATGCTTATATATTCAAAAGCAGTCTGCCTGTATATATCTTCACTGTACTCGCTAAAATTTGAACCCTTCAAGAATGTGATCAGATTTTGGGTGGAATTTCCTGTGTTTATTTATTTTTAGTTTGATTCTCAAATCATGGAAATAGTTTGTGATTGATATTATTTCAGTATAAAATTCTATTATGTACGGGCCTACTTTAAATGAAGATCATGATTTCTTCGATTCCAAATGAATGGGAATGACTATTTCTATCAGAAATATGCAATTTCAGTGATTAATTCAATTCAAATCGATGTCACAGCAACATAAAAATATGAAATTAGCATATTCTCTTAGTCTATGGTATTCTATAAAAATGAAATGGAATTCATCATTCTGATTACCTACTTTAATAAAATCGAAATACCTGAATATACTTTCTCTCTCAATCTGTCCATATTTTTTAAAATATTTGTTCAATTTCAAACAACTAAACTAAAACAAATTTCCTTCTCATTCACTGTACCATATTGTATTCTATACATATTCATAAAAACTAATACTTGAACACTATATATAGTTTTATGAGAATTATGATAATGACTAGCTACCTGTTTATAATTCATTATCATTACCATTTCACAGATTCTTCATCAATAATATAACGATTGATGATCACCCTAATGGAGACATTATTCATAATATGAATAATTGAATATTATCAAATGATTTTCTCGAACAAATGAATCATAGAGGGTAGTAGTAGTAATAATACCGATGTTGGCATGAAAAATAAAGTTTGACAAAAAACAACAAATACCCTAACGCAAAAATTGATTGAAAACTCTACAGGGTGAATATGGAATATCTGAAGTCATTTATGATATTTTTTAGGAAAAGATATACCCAATTCGAAAGTGTCCTCAATTTCCTGAAGAATTCAAATTTCCATTGTGAAATGAGAAACATAAATCATTTTCAGAGTCATTGATTACATCCTATATTCCAAACTGTTCACCCTGTAGATACAGGCTGACTGACAAAAAACGCCCCAAGTTATAGCGCCGCTATTAATCATTTCGATAAACAAAAAAGCAAATAAAATTACTCATCAAATACTATGAGTAGGCTTTGATCATTGTTTTTCAAATTTCAATTGTAAAGTCAGTGACTGGCAACTTTTTTCCATATGGAACCATATATTTTCAATTTTTTTTTCTGATCAATACTTTTTTCTGCAAACAGTGATGTATGACAAGTTGACTTACGAGTTGACTTCTGGACAAAATTAGTTGAAATAAAAAATTAATGCTCACTTGACACGAAATAGATATTCATATGAAATTTTGGGATGTATTATCAAATGTAGCAGTTGGGGTCACTGAAATGAATGTCAGTGTTTCATTTGTTAGGTACCGCATGTGATTTTCAAATGTGCTATGAAAAAAAATAAAATTCACAAACTGGCACATTATAATTTTCTTCACAGCACACTTTATGTCGAAATATCTGACGAATGAAATACTGGCGTTCATTACAGTGACATTGACTGCCACATTCAATGATCCATCTCAAATATCAAGAAAATAAAAATCCGGAGATGATCGCACGATTCGCTGTTGCGTTCCAATTAACAGTGCTGCTCCTAAGGTAGCGTATGGAGTTAGTAACAAAGCCTACACAGAACACACATGGGCTGATTGTGTTCTCGTTAGGTCGATGGCCAAGTGGTATGACATACATACCAACGAAGTACATATACACCCAACTAGAGAATATATGATGCTATTTAAAATGAAGTTGACAGTCGCTGACGTTACAGTTGAAATTTGAAAAAACTATTATCAAAGCCTATTCATAGTATCTGATGAATAATTGAATTTCCTCTTGGTTTTTCAAAATCGGGTAGGTAAAAACGGCGCTATTATAGGAATATCGGCACTGAGTAAATATATACCTTTGACAAAATGTGTAAAATTCTAGAAACCTCACCAGAATTTCAAAAGTTCTGAAATGTAGTAAGTCCAAAAACGAAAGATTGGGTATGAAAATAGCTCTGAAATTCAATATATTTGGAATAAAGTATCCATTATCAGCCGAAGAGGTAAAAATTATCCTACAAATGATCACAATGCTATCATGAACAATAATTGAAGGTACTTACATGGGGATGAAGAGAATATTGTAATATCATGAACATTTTGAAAACAATTATATAATTACTTCCATCCTTGCTTCCATCCCATTTTTATGCAAAGTTTCGAATCACCTAAAAACATATTCCATCTAAAGATAAATATATATCCTTTACTCCATAAATCAGGTGTTTACTGAATTTCTTGCTCGAAACCTAACTGATGCCATTGACAATATATAGGCCAAAGTGGTAGGAGAATACACACTAGACTCAATGAACATTGTAAAATTATTAAAAAATCTGAACTGTCCCATGAAGATAACACTACCAGCTCTTTCGGCAATCATATTCTGAAAGTCAATCACAGTTTCGATATTAACAAATATCTTGAAATTTTTCATATTTGTCAGAAAAACCAGTTACTCAATCCTCTGGAAATTTGTTGAATCAATTCTGCTCTTGAAAACCCAGATATCAACTCCCACAATGAACAGACACATTTTGAATGTCGAAAATTCTTTAATTCTTGAGATTTCATGAAATGGTTAAGGCTGCTGTTAATATTGTCTGTCCTATCCGAACCACAAGTTCATGTTATGTTTCTGTATGTTCTATGATATGTGCTTTGCTTTAAATGTCACTTCAATTTTCAAATTGTCTTTGTCATTGTCAACAATCTAATATAGTCTGTCAAAAAATGGAATACAGGATGGTTTTTTGTAATTATTTACTGATTTCATTTATTCACTGTGGTATCCACATGGCTCCCCAAATCAATTTCAATTTCAAAATGTTCATAATATTAAAATAACTTTCTCATCCCCATGTACGTACCTTCAATTGTTGTTAAAAATATATAGGGTCCGGTTTGTAATAGAAAAAATTCAACAGTGTGTTGTACTCGTTAAAATAATCAATAAAACTCACAAAAACATATGCTTTCAAACGCATCGTTTTCGAGATATAGGATGTTGAAAATACCAGTCTGAATATTGGTTTTTGATGACAAGTTCGAAACGGTTGAGAGAGATAGATCAAAAAAATTTCTCACAGATAGGTATCAAAGTTCTTACATACGCTCTTCTATAAGAAGAAATGGAAATTATTTCATGAATTGATTCAGTGGTGGGTGAATCTGGGGGTGGTGAAGGAAAAAATCACCCCAATTTCTATATGTGCATTCAATTTCTCATTTTCGAGTATAAAATGTGAAAACAGATAGATTTCTGCGTTCGATGGTTCGGTTGTATTTTTGCAATGCGTTACAACGTTCTCAAATTGAACCGAATTAACGATATGAGAAATCTAAGCTGAAAAAAAATAATAACTGGACAAACACAATGAAATTTTAATTTACCGTCACCATCCCCTTATTCAGCTGCCACTGACTTACTTTATGAAATAATGTTTATTTCATCTTATAGAGCGTAAAAATTCTACTATTTGTGAGAAATTTTGTTGTTTCATCTCAAATCGTTTTATTTATTATTCCAACGAGTACAACACACTGTTGAATTTTTTGTATATACATTACAAACCGGACGACCCTGTATACTTAGCATTGTAATCTTTTGTGTGACTATGTTTACCCTTTCGGCTGATAATGGACACCGAAACATATTCCTCCTTTGAGCAATATGGACTTCTACCAAAGATATTCCCCTAATTCCTTGTAGGATATTAAACGTGCTGGACATGATTTTTTGTTTGTCTCATACTATTTTTGGGATTGTTCCAGGTTGTACTTGGGTGCTTCCTTGCCGTACCGTCTGAAAGTAGTCCTGTTAGTCTCTCGCGCTCTAAAAGATCCCACCATGAACCCGAAGGGTACTGGAGTAAAAAGCTGACTTGGAAAACAGAGTGGGTGAAAGTCTGGAAGCACGAGAAGAAGCTATTCTGGAAAGCCGACTGGAAAAAGATCCAGGTGCCCATTTGGAAGGAAATCCAGGTTCCGATCTGGAAAGAAATCCAAGTGCCAGACTGGAAGGTCATAACGAAACCCATCTGGAAAGAAGTCCAAGTACCAGCATGGAAAGAAATCCAAGTTCCCGACTGGAAGGAGGTACAAGTTCCTGCATGGAAAGAAATTCAGGTGCCAGACTGGAAAGAAATCCAAGTACCGGACTGGAAGGAGATCCAGGTTCCGGCTTGGAAGCAAATCTGGAAGCCAGTATGGACTGAGATTCAAGTACCTGCGTGGAAGGAGATCCAGATTCCAGAATGGAAGAAGAACTTCGTACCTGAATGGGTGAAGGAAGGAATACATGGAGAGCACTACTTGGGAAAAGATGATCACGGCAACGAATACACCGCACACGATTTATGGAAGAAGAAACTGATCTGGAAACCTGTCTGGAAGAAAGTATGGCGCACGGAGAAGAAGCAAGTTTGGGTGCCCCAGAAGAAGATGGAATGGAAAGCAGAGTGGAAGCAAATCTGGAAGACCGAGAAGAAGCAGGTCTGGAGAACCGAGAAGAAGCAAATCTGGAGGACAGAAAAGAAGCAAATTTGGATTCCGAAGAAAGAGCAGATCTGGAGAACGGAGAAGAAGCAAATCTGGATCCCGAAGAAGGAACTAGTCTGGAAGCAAGAGAAGGTCCAGATTTGGAGGACAGAGAAAGTGGAGAAGTGGGTGACAGAGAAGAAGCAAATCTGGAAAGACGAGTGGAAGCAAATATGGGTGCCAGAATGGAAGACGAGAGAAGTGCCAGCTTGGAAGAAAATCTCTAAGCCCGTTTGGGAAAAAGTTTGGGTGAAAGTGCATCACCATCATGGAGGCTGGGACTGAGAAAATAATTGTCACTCATGAAAAATTGTTTCTGTAAATATTTCTTTCGCTCTCTCAACCTAGTACAAACACTGTATATACATGACAGGTTCGCCAGTGAGTTTTTTCTCGTTAGAATTAAGTCTTTGTAATTATTGTTATATATTATTTGTTGTAATTCTAAATACGCAAATAAATCCTCGTGATTGTGTACACCTGATCATTAAGAACCCACATATATAGGCGGCTGCGAGTCCTTTATCCAGCAATTACGAAACTAGGTGAAGACGCTCTTGAAATAGCATTCTTTGCTTTCACTTTATTATGTAACGGTTGTGATGAGAGATGCAGCTACCGCCATAACTTGATATAGGTACATGATGATCATTAAAAAAACTGAGGGTACTATCACTTTCACTTCCTATCGAAATCCGCACTATATAGCACGCGGGTTCAGTCAAGATCAAGGATGCTTTCCGCGAATATGCAAGTCATTAGGACTTTTATTATTGGAAAGCTGTTTAATTAGATAACTAAAAAAACTGTTGATTTGTGATAACTGATGGTCTTGTCAAAAGTTATGCAGGATTCAGGAAAATACTTTACTAACCGATAAACATCTTCAATGGAATGTCAGAATAAGTAGGTAGTTAAGAAGAAAGTTATATTAGTTTGCTAATTTCATCTGTGGAAGGGCCTCTAATGTGGAACTATTAGCAAATCCACGTTTTGGCAAAAATAGCTGATTACAAAAAAATTAAGTAGTTTCATAACACTGTACTCATTACAACTTTGGTGTTAGAAACTCGGACTAATAGATATATAAACTGAGTAGTTATTGTGTGGTGATTAAGAAACAGGAAACAGAATAAGAATTAATTCAAGACGAATGAGGTGGCATCGCAGAGTTTCGTAGTACTTAGATGTTTTCCTGCCTTTGTGTGATTAGTTTCCGTTGTTTAATCTGAATTGGACTGTTTTGTGATGAAATATGATTTGGTAGTGTCAATTCTATAAAAAAAGTTAATTACAATTATCCTAGCTTGAAACTTTGTAATTATGACTGGAAATCAGATCTCGAACATTTTTGTGAGAATTGCCATAGGAGCGATTTCTGAACAATATGAATCACGATATTTACTGAACTGGGCGTCAGTTGAAACGTTAATAGTGAAATTTGGCATCAAGTTTGACTTCTCGTAATTTCTAAAATATTGAACGAATTTTGAATTGCCGCCCAGATTCTGAATGCCTTTTTCATCGTCTTTCGAACCGTTCCTTACAGCTTCTTCTGAATTGATCAGGTTCCATGATACAGGGTGAAACAAAGTTTCGTGCATTTTGAAAAAAATTTCTTCTTCCCCCCATTTTGTCGGAAAACCACGATGCTCATATTTTATCCGGGCATTTCATAAATAGCAACCATACTTCGGAACATTTTCGAGTTTTTGCCAAAAACTACTGTGGTTTCCAAAAAAAAAATTTTTTTTTGCATTTTTTTAAATGGACTAATTTTAGAGAAGTTCCATAAATGGATGCTTTTATACATTTCAGGAAATCGTTGGAGCAGATATGTATACCGGGTTACTCAAAAACAATAAATAATTTATAACTTCGCAGTCTATGATAAAAGTTTTCTACCTTAATGAGCAGTAAATCAACACATCCCATTAACAAAAACAAACAACGATACCTTGTTTCTATATCAACGTATTGTTGAAACAATGTAGGTATGCATAGAGGTTAAATCAATTGCCAATTTTCATGAAAACGTCAGTGTAATTCGGGTCCTAAAAAATTTAAAGATGCCTCATTCAAATCGGGTCGAAATGGAAAATATCATTAGGTAAGATCACTATAGTGATATTAACTATAATTCAGTACAGATAATCATTATTTCAGGTTACGACGATTAGGATATATCCAAACTCATTCAAGTACCATTTTCAATAAGTCAGTCATGACAATAAATAGACTGATTCATCGTTTTGAGGATACAGGTAATTAGTCCATTTGAAAAAAATGCAAAAAAAATTTTTTTTCCGAAACTACAGTAGTTTTTGTCAAAGGAGCACAGAGGAGTGGTATAAATGGTGATTATCATCGATTGTATATCACACAATCCTTAATGATATTCTTCATCATTCATCGAACATTTCCATAATGGTGTAGCGATGATGATTCATCTTCGAGCTTCTTAATGTTAACAAGTTATCGCATATGCTATCGACGATATTGTTGGCAGGCAAAATAATAATTATCATGCAAATAGTAACGATGTCCATTTGTCATGACTGAGAACATAGATCTCTTGCAGCCCATTCAATTGTCAGTGAATGAGTTTGTTTCTCAACTCGTCTCTATAAATACAAGGAGTATCTAAATAACACCGAAAAAAATTCAAGTGGTGATTCCTTGTGATATTTAAGAGAATAAAGTTCATATAAACATGTGTCATAACTTGCTTCTTTTTTCGATACAGGGGAGTCGTTAATCTATGGTCTACACGTTACAAGACTGACTACACGGAAAAAAAGGAATTGTCAAATCAAGCAAAATTTAATTGAATGGGGCAAATAAAAGTGTCATATATGCACGACAAAATATAATCTTGAAATGAGGAAATCTATATCTTGTTTCAGAGCGAATTTGAAGTTTGAATCAAGTAAATATGTCTTGCATGAACTCTGGATCTTTTTCAATCAAGCACATCCATGAATGGTTTTGAAGAGATATTGAATTGGCTCAAACAAACATTTTATCAAAATAACAAGATATTGATTCAATCAAATATTTAGTTGGTTCAACGAAATATTTGGTTGATTCAAAGAAATATTCGGTTGATTCAATGACATATTTGGTTGATTCAATGAAATATTTGGTTAATTCAATGAAATATTTTGTTGATTCACGAGAAACTATATATCCATACGACAAATTGTTTTGTTGAACCAAATTCAATATTCGGGAATTTTCTGAAATTTCACATCACTATAGAATAAACAAAACTAGGAAACTAGTCGACTCCTAGCATAGATCTTCAGTCTTTACTCCTCTTTAGCTGATGGAAAATTATTTCGGATTGCTAATCATCCTAAGTTCGATTTTTCCAGCTGATATTTCAAACACGAAGTATCAGGCTTCACGTACTTATATAATGAAATCGAGGCAGGCATAGACGAGGCGAAATGATCGCCATCTAGAGGCGAAAATTTAAGTTGATGTAGAATGAACAAAATATTTCATTGATATTACATATTTCGTTGCTCTATTCAAGCAAATGATCCGTTCAAAACGAGTTTATTGATACATCGGAATAAGACAACTTGTATGTTGTTTCAAAGATATTTTCTCGTCAAAATGCTCGTTGTTTGATCAAATCAACGAAATGTTTATAGTTGAATCAACATCTACATTATTTTGGATCGACATAATTTGTTTTTAAAGAAACCATATATTTTGTTGATGGAATTGATATTATACTGTTGATTCAATTGGACTACATTCTTGATTTGAACAAGCTGCTTCCATGGAATAATCATGTATCTGGTTGATTCAACAAAAAATTGCTCAGTCCTACAAAAATAACTCAAGCATAAATAATTTGTTGATGCAACAAATCCTTTTTTTCCGTGTACTTGAGTGGAATGAAACACCCGTCCTATTCATTGAACTTTGAACTAGATCTACTAATTGAGAGATTTTGGGGCAACTCTGTTCATCCTCAACTAGATCTCCTAATTATGATTTCATATTTTTTCACTACACCTACATATTCATCTTATTCTAACATTCTTCAGACAATATATCACTGCCTATCGATTAAATTTCAACATTAGTTTTCTTATAGGCACCTTTTTGGGTAAATCATTCGATGTATCCCTATTGGCGATTACGCCCTCTAGCGGATTTTCAACTTTCTATTAAGAAGTACATTGAATGTTTGTTCACATTCACGTTTCTATGCATTTAATAGAAAGTTTAGTGGTCATTGTGATAATTTTCGAATTTGAATTCTTCAGTCGAGTATCTTGAATCATAATTGCTCGGTTTCACATGTTATTCATGAAAGTTTTTTCACTGCATTTCACAAATAATGATGTTTTCAATCAGTGTGACATTGAAAGATTTTCTCTCAAATTCGAGGTTCAATCAAGTTGCATTATATTCCTAGAAGTGAAAAGTTACAGTAGCAATTTCAAAAATGAAATCCTTTCTCAAAAGCAAAGCCCATATACTATCTAAATCTAAATAACATCAAAAAAATTCGAGAGGTGTTTCCTTGTGACATTCTAGCAAATAAAGTTCGTACAAACATGTGTTCCGTTTTTGAGATACAGGATGTTGAAGTTGGAAGTATTAATTGTTTTTATTTATAACCCCCTTGTATGAGCTTTCATGGTGCCAAAATTCAGTATGGATGGAGACTGAGAAAGTCCCAAAATTTCAAAATGATGATTCTAATTTTTTTTATGTTCTGGCTCCCACGAAAAGGGATATAAGGGAAATAAGGTAGGAATTGGTGTTCTTCTTGAATTTCTGGATTGAGGTTATTGGGTAATCTCAATGGAAGTTTTGAAAACACCTACATTAAAATTTGAAGTCAAATCAAATTTTTATTGTTTCCTCAAAAACTTAGCTAGATACAAAAATCACACAAGAGGTCAAAAAATTGTAATTTTAATAGTTCAATCTGATAAAAATATGAAACTCAGAAAAACCGGTGGTGTACAATGACATTCACCATGATCATCGATAAATTTACCCACTGTTACGCCACTGGAAATATTATTTCGAATCTAATTGTACTAGCAGAAGCTCCATATTAATATTCACAAAACCACAACGTTTTATTGAAATTGATGAAAATACAATTGCGAAAGAATAGAAAAAAGATTTTTCATGGAAATATTAATACACTGTATCTCGAAAACGGAGCAAGCTAGGACACATGTTTATATAAACTTTACTTTCTAAAATTTCACAAGGAATCACTACCCCTTGAATTTTTTCGGTGTTATTGAGATACATCCTGTATGTTGAATTCATCCTACTAGGTAGATCAATTCGCATCAATCCAGCTTTCAGGACTTTCTCTTTCATAAACACATGTAGATGAATTGACTACTAATATTTACCTCTC